GAGAAGGAGCAGCTTTTGCATCTTGCAAAACCTAATTAGGTAAAAGCACCGGCTTCAGAGCTTGGAATGGGGTTGGAGCGGCCCTCTTTGGCTCTCAGGCAGGAGGCAAACCTGGTTCCGTTTCTCACGTGAATTCTTCCTTGGAAACCCGGGTCAGGGCCCTCCAACCGTGGCCACTTCAAGACTGGTGGACTTCAACCCCAAAGCAAAGCTGGCTGAGGAATTCTGGGAGTTGAAGTCCACCAGTCTTGGCCGAGAGCCTTCGTGGTAGTCATGAGACCCTTTCCTACAAGCCCCGCCCTTCTTTATTATATATATTTTTGTTATGCAAAGGAGCCTGATCAAAAAGCTGCCCTCCAGAGCCAAGGGCCGCTTGGGGAAAAGAGTGCATGTCTAGCAGAACAACAGAGTTGGAAGGGGCCTTGGAGGTCCTCTAGTCCAGCCCCCTGCTTGGGCAGGAAACCCCACACCCTTCAGGCAGTCGTCTAATCTCTTCACCTCCAGTGTTGGAGCATTCACAACCTCCGAAGCAACTCACTGTCCAGAAATTTCTCCCTAGTTCTAGCCAGGTTGCTTCTGTCCTTGGTGGCTTCCCATCCGTTGCTTCTGTGCTTCCCTGCATGATTCCTGCTGAGAAGTGCAGAGATGGCAGGCAAGGTGGGAACCTCTGGGTGGGCGGAGAGACAGAATAGATGCAAAAAAATATATATATATCAGTGGGACTGTGGCACATCAGCTCTAAACCTCATGCCCATTTTTAGAAATGCGCTCGGCTTTCTCACACTTAATGCTCCTTAATTTACAGGCTCCTTGCAAAAAGGGCACTTCTAAAATATTAAATTCTATCGGTGTGACTTCATGCGTGTAGCATTTCAGCCACACCTAAAAAATGCATATATATATATATATGAAAACATCCTAATTCTCTCGTTCCTTGGCAGCTGAATTAGCATGGTTCTTCTCTCTCTGTCCTTGTGGCCCTGCATTCAGGGGGAACTTTAGCCCTGATGGTGGTGAGACCCCAGGGAGGGTTCAGCAAAGCGCCTAGGAGGGTCGCCAGCCGAGGCCTTGCTCTGTTTGGAAGCCATGTGCAGCCTCTGCCTTGCCTCTTTGGCTAAACAAGCACAGCAGGGATTCACCCCACAAATAGAAGGAGGCGGGTGTGCTGCAGACGAGAAGGGGGGATTGTCACGTGGGGGCATGACAGGAGTCGGGGGGGGGGGCGGGTGTCCTTTGGGGTGTCAGCCTTGTGGGGCACTTATGCTACGAGAACGCCGGAGAGGGGTTTTCTCCCCCACCTCCTGTGTGCGCACCAAATTTAGGGACCAGGATGTTTTGCGGTCCAGCGTTTCTGACATCTGCCTTCTCCCCCCCCCCCCCTTCAATCCTCTGCTGCCAATGGTCACCTGGTCATTCTCTGGCAAGAGAAGTTGTCGTCTTTCTTTAGGTCTGATTGCACAGTGTGCCTTCGCCCCCCCCTCCCTCCCCCTCGTTTGCCTGAGACACGGGATGCAAAGGGGGTCCCCGCCAGGCCCAGAATCCCACCCCCAACCGGGGAATTCCAAAGACCGAAATTCCAGCTCTTCCTCAGAAGGATCTCGGCCTTTGCCAAAAACTCCACGGAGCCGTGATGGGAGGCAACGTGGCCCAGATAACCCTCCTGAGCAGAACCTGCTGTTCCTCTGTGTCAATTTATATCCCCTTTGTCTTAAAGGAGGCCGAAGGAAGAGAGATGCATTGTGCAGATCTCGGCTAAACGTGGACTGAGAAGCGAGACCGAAATAAGCCCTGCCTTGTTTTGCAGCCAGTTAACTCGTCCGTCCTTAACGGTTACAGCCGATCTCAAACTGGCGAATTGCAATCTTTCCTGCACCGCTTAAAATGGGGGGAAAAAAATATGTTGCAAATATTGGACGGTTATTCCACAATATTTATTTTATATTCCAACAGCTGGCGATTTGGGTGCTTGCTTTTGAATGAGTCAGCGGCCCCGTTTATGTCCCCGGTAACAATTCTGAGTTAATGCTGTTTGCGGTTTTCGAGGTGTTTTTGTTTGACTATTATTGCAAGACTGTTGACATTTCTTCCATTGAAAACAATTAACATAGATTAAACAAAAATATCTGCTACGATCTGCCTTCTTATTTCGAGGGCAGCCATGCAAATATTGTTGGGTTTGAAATTTGAATAATAATCGGACAGATTTGGAAAGCCAGCATCTCAGGCCAGAAGGCACCCCCCCCCCCCCGCCAGGGAGCCTGTATTCTGGCCAGTTGGGATCCCCAGGGAGCGGTGCAGCTAGTCCTCGACTAACGACGGTTCACTTAGTGAACGCTCGACGTTACAACGGCATTGAAAAAAGTGACTCATGATCAGTTTTTCGCACTTAACGACCGTTGCAGCGTTCCCCCTGTGGTCACGTGGTTTACATTCGGACGCTTGACCCTGACTCACATTTATGACGGTCGGGGTATCCCAGGGTCCACATGATTCCCTTTTGCGATTTTCCGACCATCAAGGGGGAAGCCAGATTCGCTTAACGACCGTGTCGCTAACTTAAGAACCGCAGGGATCCGCTTAACAAATGGGGCAAGAAAAGCTGTAAAGTGGGGCGAAACCAATACCTTTCTCACTTAACGACCTAAATTCCAGGCTCAACTGTGGTCGTAAGTTGAGGACCAGCTGCAAGGGGTTGGGGAGGCTGCCCAGAATTAGGAAGTTGGCCTCCCAAATGCCAGGGGGGCTTCCTGTCCGGGGGGTGGGGAGCTGAATGGCAGGCCGGGGCCTCCCGCTGGGCAGTTGGGCCGTTTCCCCTAGGAGGAAGCTGGACCCCGGTCAAGGACGGATGTTTTTTACCCCCCCCGCAGAAACGATGAGGCGAGTGGTACGGCAGAGCAAGTTCCGGCACGTCTTCGGCCAGGCGGTGAAAAATGACCAGTGCTATGACGACATCCGGGTGTCCCGAGTCACGTGGGACAGTTCCTTCTGCGCGGTCAACCCCAAATTCGTGGCCATCATCATTGAAGCCAGCGGGGGTGGGGCCTTCCTGGTTCTGCCTTTGTACAAGGTGAGTGAGGGGGCTATTCCCATTCCCCCCCCCCCCGGTTGCTGTCCTGTTGAACGTCGACCCCGTGGCTTTAATGTGCCTCCTCGTTGCAAGACGCCCGGATTCCCTCTCGGGCCCTCGGCCCGCTGAGCGTGCAACTCGCACGAGGGACGGAACCGCAGAGGGAAGGTTGGTGTGTCATAGCGACCCAACTACCAACCCTGGCCCCTCGGTCCGTTGCCTGACGTTCCTCCCCAGCGCAGTTTCTGAAGCTGTGGGTGCTCCCAACCACCCTGGAGGCTTTCCGGAAGAGGCTGGGCAGCCACTGGCTGCCTGAAATGGCCTGGGGGGGGGGTTGGACTAGATGACCTCCAGGGTCCCTTCCGACTCTGTCATTTTAGGTCGTGCATAGGGCAGTGGGCCCTTTTCCTACCCAAAGGGCATATATATATATCGCCCAAGGTTGGGGCAGAATCACACCCTCCCCCCCCCCCAAATCCCGCAGGTTGAAACAGTCCCTGCCCCTCTCGGAGACGGGGTGGGTGGGTGATCGAGGTGGGGGGGTTGGCTCTTCCTTCCCTGGGCGAAGGAGGCCAGCAGGGATCTGATTCTCAGCAACCCACATCCCTTTGCCGTGAGTCACGGAGCTCAGCCGGCCTCCCCCACCTTCCTCGCTGATCTCCAGCCCGGGGAGGGGGAAGGTTCCTTGTTTGCTCCCAAGGCTGAGCCAAGAACTCGGTCAGGCTCCGAAACGCCTCCCGGGTCTCCAGACGGTGGGAGAGAGGGCGGCCCCTCCTCACCTGCAGCCCTGGACCTCCGCACATTATTTCTCTGGCTGGTGGGTGGGTGAAGAGGGCGCAAGGCTCGCTGCCTCCTGCTGGGCTCTGGGAAATCACAGCCCCCCTCTGGCGAAGCTGTAGCTTTGGGTGGATGCCCTTGGGGGACTCTGGGGAGAGCGGTGGGTGCAGGGCCCTTTTCTCCGGGGCCTTTTGCCCCACAGAGGGGAAGAGGCTCAGTTCAGGCCAAGCCTCCCCAGCCAGCTGCAGTCTTGGCCGTGCCCAGCCTGCCTGATGAGCCCTCTCCCCCCTCCTCCTCCCCTCCCCAGCCAAAGGAGGGAGGCTCCGCCTGTCTCACCACGGGGAGTGGGCTCTGCTCCTTGGGCCTGGCCCCCAGGCTTTCTGGCAGCCTCCTTTCTCTCTGGGCTCCTCCGTTCAGTGGAGCCTCGCCTCCATGGGGCCTGCAGCATTTCCACGGAGGAGGAGGAGGAGGAGGAGGAGGAGGAGGAGGAGGAGGAGAAGAGGAAGAATCCGTCTATCAGTTGTCAGGCCCTGGCAGTGGTTTTTACCATATATGGCCATCAGAGCTCTTTCGGCTGCAGCCGTCCTGAATAATATCCACCCTCCGCTTTGATTGGCCACTCGGAGCCCAGAGGATGGAAGGGAGGGTTGGCTCGGAGCTGCTGCTGCGGCGGCTGCAGCCTCTTTGAGTCGGGGAGGAAGAGGAGGAGGAGGAGGAGATGGGGGGGGGTTTAGCTCTCTCTCTCTCTCCCTGGCTCTTTCCACCGTTCCCCACCCTGCCCCCTCTGGGCACCAGCTGGGCGCAGCCTGGGGAGGGCAGCCCAGGCGGGGCACATGGGCTCTGCCTAGAATGGCAAGGCAGGTGGGGAAGCCCCCCCCCCCCCCGGGGCCCCCCCCCCCCCCACCAGCCTCCCTGTTCCAGGAAGGAGGCTGGAATGGCAGCACGTGGGCACCGGCCTGCTAAACCCAGGCGCTCCTTCTTCTTGGCAGAGGTCTTTGTCTCAATAAGACAAAGGAACCTTGGACAGGGAAATGGAAGGGAAACGAACGCCCAGCAGACCCGAAGGCGCGTCGGTAGCCCAGCTCCCCTTCCCCACCAGAGTCCCAGGCTGGGAGGACTTCAGCTCCCAGAATCCCCTCTGCAATACGGAAGCCCCTGGGGATTCAAGGGGGCTCCCCTGGTTGGGCGCGGCCAGGTTAAACGAGAATCCTCACCTCGCACAAGGCAGCCCAAACCCTAATTGGTGGCTTAGCGCCGTGTTTCTCAGCCCTGGTTGCTTTAAGGCTCCAGCTACCAACGAAGAGCCCTTGAGTCCATGGAAATAATAAAACGGTTGGAAAGCCCCAGAAAGGTTTTCCTTTCCAAGCCAGGACTTTGCCTTTTGGGTGGAGTTCCTCTTAAGCTCGGATTTTTCTTCCCGTTTCCCTTTCCTCGGTCGGGGAGCCTCGGCCAGGAGTTCACGGTTTGCCTTCAGCGTTACTCTGCCAGTCCAGGGTAGGGTCTCCCTTTTGTCCCCAAGCCAAGAACTGGCCTGTTCTGGAAAAACCTGCACCTTGCGAGGGGCCGAAGGCCAAGAGTCTGGCTCCATCCTTACTCTTCCTCTCCCAAACCACTTCCCTTAAATCAATGAACAAGTCGATGCACAAATACACCGAAGAGTTGGTGTTGTTGGTAAGGCCACGTGTGTGTGTCTCACCATGAGGATGTGGGCTGCGCCGTTTGTAGCCTTAGACAAAAGCGACTTTTGGCCCTGCGTGCGTGAAGTTTCGTTTCTCTCCCCATTGTGGCTTCCAAAAGATCCAGCTGGCAGTTTCCACAGGAAGTGTGTGCAAGTTGTGGCCTGCCTTGCGGAGGGTGGGGACCGTTTGGTGGTGCTGGGAATTGCTCAGCTGTCCCTCCCGCTTCTGCTTTTGCCCCCCCCCTCCCCGTGAGGAAAGTCCGGGGGGATTCTGGGAGTTGGTCCGCCTCCCTTGAAGCTGCCCCGGTTGAGGAACCTTGCTCCTTAGTCTGGCTTCCCTGGGTCGCCTCCCTCCCTCTCTTATCTTTCAAACTGGGTGTGCCAAACTAGGTGTGCCTCCCTCCCTCCCTCCTCTCTGATCTGGCGTGCTCCCCCTGGGCCCAAGAGAGCCCGGACCCTCCTCGGTTGGCCCCCCCATCTCCAAGGCTTCTCCAGAGGGGGAGAGAGGGAGGGAGGGAGCGATAAGGCCTGTTCAGGGTCTCCGCAGTAGCTGGAATCCTCTCCCCTCACAAGGCTTAAGCCCCCCTCCCCCATTGTGCAATGGCAGCTCCTCCTTATCTCAAAGGGGGGGGGGCTGGCTTAGTCATGGCGATCCCGTCTCCGGGATGATTAATGGCCATTTGTCATGGGCTGAATTGGCGGCAGGGCCTCTCCATTGAAGCCTGGTGCCTGGGCAGGAACCATCTGGGCCCTCTTGGTAGACGGGGGTGGGCGGGGGGGGGGGGGCGGGCTTGCTAGAAGATAAGGGGCCAGCTGGAGTCTCTGGCCTTGGGGGCAGGGGGTGGGCGGCCTCCGAAGAGGAGACACCAGGGAGAGGTCCCACTTTGCCTTTCAAGGCCATTCCTCTGGGGTCCGGCATCCTCCGCTCCGTCTTGTAAAATAAAACACACAAGGTGGGATATGTGAGCCGCCATTATACCTTCTCGGAGCTTCTGCTTCCCTTTCTCTGAACCTGGATCCAGAAATGGACTCAGGACAGATTTCCCCGGACAGGCCTTGGGAGCCACTCTGCAGGCCTCGGTTGAGCTGCTTTGGGGGCAGATGGGAAGCCCCGGATAGAAGGAGTGAGCCGCCTTCCTCTTTTGCAGCTCGCTGACCCTGCATCCATCCACCCGCCCACAGCCTCTTGCGCTTCTGCTGTTGTCCCTCTGTGGGCGAAGGGCTGCCCCACCAGGGCCCTTGAGTGCTGCCTTGCAGCTGTGCCCCCTTCCCGGCCACGCATCCCCCCCCCCTCGCCCTGCCCTAATCAGGAGGAAAGCAGTGGGGGCTCCTGAGTGCAGGAGGGGCTTCTGGTTCTCCCACCCCTCCACCCCCCCCAGCTGGGCAGCTGCCTGGCTTCCGATTTTGACCAGCAGGGCCAGGGCCAGACACGGTTTTAGCACGGCCTCCAAAGCCTTTTGTACGGTGAACTTGGGGTTTCCAAGGCTAACCTTCCCAGCGTTGGCTGCGCAGTCGCCCAGGCCGCCTTCCAAGGGTCATTCCGCACAGGGAGCAGGGAGAACTTTTCTTGGGAAACCCAGCCGTAAACATGAGCCCGAAGGGTGTGCCGGTCCTTCTGTGGACGGGATGCAGCCGCCTGAGCTCCTCGCAAACAAGCGTTGTGAAATGAAGCTCGCGATGCTTTTCCAGAGAGCTGATGCGTTCGGACAGGGGTGGTGGTGGTGGTGGGAACTTTTGCAGGGAGACCCTGGTTTCATGATGGAGCCCACCCTTCCCTTGCCAGAATCCCCCGATTGAGCTCTCGGGGGTCCCCAATGCCGCAGATCAAGGAGGGAGCTGCCAAGGAGCCGTTTTTGCTACCCCCCCTTGGCACGCCTGCGACTCGGCCTCTGGCTGACGGCCTCCTTTCCTCCCCCTCTCCAGACCGGCAGGATCGACAAGTCCTACCCCACCGTCTGTGGCCACACCGGGCCAGTGCTGGACATTGACTGGTGTCCTCACAACGACCAGGTGATCGCCAGCGGCTCGGAGGACTGCACGGTGATGGTGAGTGTGGGGGCCTCGCTTTGGGTCTCTGCGGCTGCGCCTTGCTCACTCGGGTGGCGCTTCCCGGGCAATTGCCTGGCCCCACTCAGCAGGTGGTTCATTCAGGGCCGCCTGGACGTGGCCGGAGTCGAGCCTCAGAGCGGGAGGGGGGCAGCTGCTCCTAATCTGGGCTGTCTGGGGGGGACGCCGGCAGAAACCGTGCTCAGTGCCTGGTGACAGAGATCCTCGCGTCACGCTCAACGGAGCCTCCGCTCCTCCCGGGGGAAGCAAGCATGATGGGCAGCTCATCACTGCCTCCCGGTGTTTGGCCGGAGCTTAACCCGGGACTCTCCAATCTTGGCAACTTTTAAGGCGCAGGGACTTCAACTCCCAGCATCCCCCAGACAGCGATGAGTACTTTAAAAAAGGGGGGGGGGGGGGGGGTTTAATGTCCAAATGTGTCATTGAGGCTGTTGGTCATTGGCTGCTGAGCATGCAGGGAGAAACAGGGTGCCAGAAAGGTGAATAAATCCTCCCTGGCTCACGGTTGGTGTGTGAATGGGGGCTAAGCAGTGCGTGGAACGGAAAACGGAAGCCCCCTCCCACCAGAGGAAGGCAGGACGTGGGAAACTCGGAAGGGTGTTTAGCACAGGCTGTACAAGCAAATGTGCTGGGAAGCAAGGAAGAGCCAAGGAAAGGGAGGTGTGTTGGCTTCTCCCAGGCCCTTAGACACCCATCCAGGGAGTTAGGCAACCTGTCTCGGCCGAAGGTCACCTAGGGTGGATTGCCAAGAAAACTGGCTGCCAAGGATGATTCACCCGGCAGAGTCAGGCTGGCCCCAGCAGGACCCTGAGCCCAGTCCTGGGCTGAATGGCCATCGATGGGCCCCCGAGTCACCCGGGCCTTGTCATCCTCGAGGTGAACTCTGACCCTCCCCCGTTCTGGTGGGAAGAGGGAAAAGGGCCAGAAGGTCCCTCCTAGATGCCTTGAGGGCTGGTACGGGAGGCCCATCCGGCCTCGATGCTGAAGGTTCCCCTGGACGCTTTGCAAGGCCACGAGAGCCCCCCAGGGCTCTGCTTTCGCTCCAGGGGCTGACAGCCAGGGGGGCCTTTGGCCTGACCCGCTCCTGAACTGGCCTCCTTTCTTAGCAGGGAAGGAGCCCTCAGAGGCCAGGGACCCTTCCAGGCCGCCCGAAGAGCCTGGCCTCTGGCAGCAGCAGATTCAAGGCCTAGGGGTAGGGCTTCCAAGGCCCTTCCAGGCCCTGTTTGAGGGAGGAGAGATGCCCCAGTGGCAGCTGGGGCTGGGCTGGAGGAGGGCTGCCCCCCCACCCCGGCTGAACCAAGACCGCTAAGAAGCCAACGTAGGAGAGGGAAGAGAGCCGTCAGAGGCAGCAGCCCAGGAAGGGGAAGAAAGTCCAACCTAAAAAAGCTCCTTCTGGACAAACTGTGTTTGGCCTGGCAACACCCCCCCCCTTCCTCCTCAGCCGCCTTCCGGAGGCCCACTCGCCCCCTTGGCCTCCTTCCTTCTCTCGGCAGGTCTGGCAGATCCCAGAAAACGGCCTCACGCTGTCCCTGACGGAGCCTGTGGTCATCCTGGAGGGCCACTCCAAGCGAGTGGGCATCGTGGCCTGGCACCCCACCGCCCGCAACGTGCTGCTCAGCGCAGGTAGGCCGAGGAACAGGGTGCGATGGGCCAGGCTTGGGCCTTCAAGGGGATTGCTGGATCTGACCTCAGCAGGCAGTTAACTGGTGCTGCTGCCTCAGCCTCTTCCTCCTCCTCTTCCTCCTCCTCCTCCCCCCACCCCCAGGCTGTGACAACGCCATCCTCATCTGGAACGTGGGCACTGGGGAGCCCCTCATCAACCTGGACGACATGCACCAAGACATGATCTACAACGTCAGCTGGAACCGCAACGGCAGCCTCATCTGCACGGCCTCCAAGGACAAGAAAGTCCGTGTGATCGACCCCCGGAAGCAGGAGATTATGGCGGTGGGTCTCCCGGGGGGGGGGGGCCCGGGGGGGGGGGGGGTTAGGCTGGGCGGGGAGAGTTTCTGGCCGCCTGCTGCCCTTGCAACAGAGTACAGAGTTCCAAGGCCCATCATCCTTGTCCTCGCCCTGCCCGGGAGCGAAGTTGAAAGCTGTGGCCGTTTCGTGCTGTCGGGAATGTGACTCTCCCCCTCCTCCTCCTCCTGCAGGAGAAAGAGAAGGCGCACGAAGGCGCCCGGCCGATGCGAGCCATCTTCCTCTCCGACGGCAGCGTTTTCACCACGGGGTTCAGCCGCATGAGCGAAAGGCAGCTGGCCCTCTGGAACCCGGTGAGTGTCCCTGGGGAGCCCCTCGGGCAGGGCCCTCCCACCGTGGCCACTTTAAGACTGCTGGATGAGGAACTCTGGGAGTTGAAGTCCACCCGCCTAAAAGCGGCCAAGGTGGGCGGGCCCTGCCCTAGACCAATGTCTCTCCACCTTGGCCACTTTAAGGCGGGTGGACTTCAACTCCCAGAGTTCCCCAGCCAGCCACGTTTCTGGCAGCTTAAACATGGAGAGGACCTTTGGAGAAACCTTTGGTTTAGGGGCGTCGATCTGGAAGCCGCTCCCCTTCCGGCTTCTCTGGACGCCTCTCCTTCGGCTAAAAGGGCCTCTTGTCTTGCAGAAGAACATGGGCGAGCCCGTTGCCCTCCATGAAATGGACACCAGCAACGGCGTCCTGCTGCCCTTTTACGACCCGGACACCAACATCCTTTACTTATGCGGGAAGGTGAGCCAAAATAATAACACTAACAATAACAATAATGTGGATCGTCAACATTGCCATACCTGGGGACAGCAGAATCGAGGAGAAAGCAACTTGGGAAAACCCACCAGATATCAGGACTTGAGAATCGAACTGCCGAGACTCTGGCATCAACCAGTGCAGGTGGTTCCACTGGTACTGGGCATACTGGGTGCTGTGCCTAAAGACCTAGGCAAGCACGTAAAAACAGTTGGTGCTGACAGGATC